TTCTAATTGTTTTGGTAACACGAGCAAACATTAGCATAGTAATGCTAAAATAACATGTTTTATGTGATAGTCACAGTACAGTGCGGCAAATATAGGTTGGTACGATTATAATATATGCGTTTCCAGAGTGTTCTTCCACAGGACACAGGGAGAGGAGGAAGTGGAAGAGGGGGTAGAGGCGGTGCAGGAACGGCCAGGCGAGGAGCTAGTGTCTTGGATTGAGACGGGGCTAGTGCCAATGTAGCTAACAAAACTAGCTGTCTCCACCGTTTTAGATTCACAGTTTATCTGATCTTTTTCTTTTATTTGGTGGCGTGGTTTTCCTCTTACAGGGCAAAACTTATGTGTGGTCCTCCATTTAAAGTGCAACAGAATCATAAAAGTACAAAGCAGGCTCATGCAGAAGCGCCCCTGATTGAGCTTCACCTTCTCTGTCTCCAGTGACAGCAAGTTCTCGGTAAACACGAAAGGCGAAGCGCTTATATCCCTTTCGGCCACTGTATTCAAATATGGCGACGCAACAGGGCAAACTCCAGCAGACCGCGCCCTGCCTGTGTATATCATTCTAAGCCTATGAGAAAGGCTCCATTTGTATGTGAATTGCATTACACTTTAGTAAATATATATTTATGAAAGCAATAGTTGATATGTCCTAATAAACAACCATGTAAATTACACATTGTAACTTTAATTATTATTGTTATTTATTCACACATTTGTATATTCATTTATTTATTAATATATCAATTTAGAAAAAAGAAAACATAACTATATACCATATTAAAATCAGATGTTAATCTCTGAAGTATTGCATTAAATCATCTTATGTTAAGTTAATAGAGCAAGTCTTACTCCATGCCTGATCCATCCTGTAACTTGACAGCCGCACCAAATAAGGTCCAGCAGACGAGGCAAGGATGTGATGAGTTCCTTATTTTTGAGAACATAAGGAAACATTAATAATCCAATATTTACAGCTGAAACATGGTGCTTGCTGTTTGTTCTTTACAGTAAGTTATTCAGAGGACAAAAACAGTAGGTTAAAAAGGCTAAAAAGAATTCAGTTGTTAATCCACTGTTAGTATAAGTAAATGAAAATTGAAATCAAACTTTACAATAATAACAATAAACATAACTTAATGTTTTTGTACCTCAGCGATTAATCAGGGTTCAACTTTAACGTTTAAAACTAAAAAAACTGTTTGAGTATTTCTGTTTGGAAACCTCACAAACTGCATGAAATACAGTAGAAACAGCAGCAGCCTGGATAATCATTACAAAGGTGGAAAGTCACAGGTTGAACTCCTTCAACTGGCCTGAAATCATGTGTGGAAAAAACAGTAACACTGCTGACACACAGCAGCTGACAGAAAGAGGAGATCATATCATACAGAGAAATATTAGCTTTTACTAGGTAAATATTTTTTATTGTGACTACAACAAACGGATGCTAAACATTAATGACAGTGCTGAGCTTTCATGTTTCATCAGATGTCAAAACCACCATCAAGCACATCACGTTTAGTTAGCATGGTGGTTTAAAAGCATGAACACAAAGGGCAACAAGGGCAAATATAAACTGCTGCCATTACAAACTGAATACAGAAATTAGCTGACAATTAGCCTGATAGGCCACCATCAGTAATCAATACAAACCTGTAAACCAACTATTAATCAAACCAATAAATAACAGCAGTCAATTTCAGAAAACCATGTCATAATTAAGCAGTTACTACCCAGTGTTTCTGTAGAGGTGTCAAAACATTAAAAATATACAAATAGCGGTTTGAATTAAACTAATGGTCCCTGCGCTTTCCGGGGGAAATACACTGTAAAATCCAATAGCTGCCCTGACATACATAAATTAGTTAACTTTACTAGGTTATCAACAAAATGCAGTTATTACTGGTATTTATGAAGTAACAGTTACTTGCATGGTAAAAAAAGCAAAATACTTAGTGTTTAGAGTGAAGATTACTTTATTTTGAGTTAACCTCACTTGCAACAATAAGTAGCAAGAGAGGCTGGGGTGACAAGGTGGGATGAGAACGTTTAAATCATGCGCATGCCTGCTGAAGAGACCCTGGATTTCGACTAGACTCGGCTCTTTTGAAGAATAATAAGGTAAGTTATCAAGCAAGTTTGTCTGTTAATGTGCTGCGCGTCGGGGTTCCATTCCCCTGTCGGGAGTTATTTTTCAACAGTCACCGGCTCACTATACATTATCCCTTACTTAATGCTTGCTATGACTACGTTAGCATTAGCTAGCTAACGCTAGCTGACAAACAGGAATGGCTAGCTAATATGCGACTAGCAGAGCCTGTTCAGGCCATGGTTCAGGCATGTTTTGGCGGTTTCCCCACCATCATCCCGTGATCTGCTTAAAACCTATTTTAACGGTTCCCTAGCTATGAAAGTCCCACATTTGAAATGTTGTAGCATGAGTTTCCGTTTCCCCCAAGTTGACAACGAAGGCATTTTGGTCGGACTTTAGAAATTTGTAACGTGGAAATTACAATTTTCAGTGAACGCAGCATGAATGTGTCTGATGTAGAGACAAGGTTAAGGGGCCGTTTATACGACAACGATTTCAGTGAAAACGGAAAAGTCTGTCCTTTGCGTTTTAAAAAACTTCTGCGTTTATATGACAACGTTATTGAAACGATCTCCGTTCACATGGAGCCGCAGGATCTACTGGAAACGCTGTAGTATGCACGCCAGGCCAGTGGGTGGCAGTGTAAATTTGCAAAGCAAACACCACGGTATGACGCCATGCGCCTGCGCTGAAGCGCCTTCCTATACAACGCAGTGATTACAAACCAAAACAAAGAAGACACAATGGAGAAAACATGAAAAGATAACTATGACTGGATGGACGACGAGGTGGAGTTGCTACAGTAACAGATCTACACTTCACTTCAAATCAACAGGGTGAGCAGCACAAACAGAGCTCGCCATTGTTGTTGTGACGGTCAGCATGCCTAGTGACTGGGACCGTAATGCACATGCGCGAAAAGTCGTTTTCAGAGGAACTGCATACTGCACGTTTACATGACAACGGAGACGCTGCCGTTTCCAAAACGTTGCACTCTGGAACCCGTTTTCAAATTGTTGCGTTTCCAGGCACCCAAAACGCCACTGTCGTGTAAATGATCGGCCAAAACGCAACTAAAGTTTACCGTTTTCAGTTGAAATCGTTGTCGTATAAATGGGGCCTAAATGAGGTTCGTAATTCACTGTCTTCCTTGGAGAAATGGTGAAGGGTGGCAAGAGGCTACAACAACAACAAGTTAACTTGCTTGTAAAAGCTAACAGTAAAGCTAACTGTGAAGTTGCGTCATTTACGTGTTGGTGTAACGTTAAACGGTAGCCAGCGGTACACATTTTTACCTTCAATACAGCGTGGGTGAAGGAAGAATAAGTCACGTTAGTGAAAGCAACAGTTGGGGTGTGTACATTAAACGTTAGGGCTGCCGCAATCCACCACACGGCCATAGTTAAATTTACATGGACTAGAGGAGTCGTTTGCTCTGTGTTAATTCGACTGCAGTTGTGAGTCTGCTGAAAAGCTAATGTTGCGCACTGGTCTGTGGCCTCACAGAGTGCGCCAATGAACGAGTCCTCTCATTGTCCCTCTCGAGCTATGATAAGCTGTAAGTCCCGTTAAGCGACCTGTGACCAACAATGAGTGAGAAATCGGCTCATTCTTTATTTTGCAAGAAAGAAAAAAAGGGAGAATCCCTCTTGTCTCCAGGAGGCTTACTGTAAACCAAACATTTTTCAGGGTCAGAGATGTTGGTAACTTCTTTGACTTGTGTAAACTGCTCAGTATGCATGACAACAGCATGGCAAAAGCCAACTAGCCAGGAAATGCTTGCTATCCAAATCTTGCATACTTCTATGGGTTTCCTTGTCCATGTTGTAATTCACTTGATTTGAAGATGACCTGATTTGACTAAAATATAATCACTGATTATCCAAATGTTTTACACATGTAGGGTTTAAGAAAATGTGTTCATTGTCAGAGCTCCAGGTGCCATGATAGTTAATTGTTAATATCATTTTTTGCAGTGCTTCCTCAATTACTTTATAACACCATGGGACTTTGGTCACTTTTTGGGTCTAAGTAGTTTTTCAAGGTGCAATTTTACTGTCAGAAGTATTTTTAAATCATGACCTCCACCTCTGATATTTTAAACAAAACCTTAAGACATATCTTTTTAGCCTGACACTTACGTAATGTGCTTCCATTATTAGTTGATAGATTTATATAAGGCTATTCTATTTTTTTTTTGTTGTGCCTTTGCTCACCTGTGCTTTTTGTTTTTGTTGCAGTGTCTTTCTATCATGTGCAGCACATTGGGTGTACGTAGAAATGTGCTATATAAATGAAGATTGATTAATTACATGGGCACCTTTAAGGTCTAATAAAATTAAAATGTTAAATTTAACATTTTCTCTGCCAGTAATTATAATTTCTTTGCTGTGTTGTCACACTACTGCTAAATTAATACTAAGGAAATTATGCTTTTGAAATGTTTTCATTACAGATTCCTTAAATAGATATTTCTATAAATGTAACCGTGTAAAGAGAAAAACACCTGTTGTTGCTACATGTGTGTGGTATGTAGCCACAACACGTGTTTTTTTCTTTACACAGTTACACTTTTGCCACAGTACCAGCACCTTGACTTCTGCTGTGCACGGGCATTTTTCGATTTTTGATTTATTTCTATAAATGTGTTTACATTAACGGACAATTCCCGGCAAATTCAACCTGGGGCTATAGTTTCCTAATATTTTCAAATCTTAAATCTCACAAAACAGCTTTTTTTTTTTCACAGACACCGTCAGATGGCTATTCAAACGTACACTTTGGGGGGGGGGGGGGGGGGGGGGGGGGGGCGGCTTGGTGTACATTTGAATAGTCATCTGACGTTGTCTGTGAAAAAAATTGCATTCTGGGATGTAAATAGCCTAAACAGCCTAAGATCTGCCCGCTCCCATTATAAGCTGCTGTGCAATAGGAGCAATAAAAGAAAAATCTTCAGATTCATTCTTTTAGACCAAAAATATTTGGAAACTAGCCCCAGGTTGAATTTGCCTGTAATTGTCCTTTAATATTAAACACACGTTCCTGTAATACCTGTAAAGCATGCACATATTAAGGAATGTGTCAGTAATCCAGTAATCTACATATCATAACAATATCAGTGGAACTTCCTTTTAACTAAAAAAAATCTTTCTCTTTTTCAGAACAAGTACTCAGAGCTACTGAAGAGCTGCTTTGTCAGCGCAGGCCTCAGTGTACTGGAGGTGAGATGCCAGTAGCTTATATTCTGGAGGACATTTCAGCTTAAGGAGTTACAACTAGCAGTAGAACAGTTTTTGAGAAAGTGTTAACAATGCTGCACCTTAATTAGATTAAATTGAGAGACTATCCTTACTTAAAATCTCCTTTGAAAATCGTTCTTCCAGATGCATTGGACCTGTAAGCAGTGCATCTTTTCTGCAGACAAGAGAGGACAGTTGTTAAAACACTGTCGCCTAAAACATGGAGGTTTTACTCGGCAACAACCAATACCATGTCTTCATATGGATTGCTTGTGCACTTTCAAATCTTTTAATGCACTCAAAGTGCATTTATCTGTTTGGCATTCTCAATCAGACATTGGGCAAGCAAGTAAACCCACAGTTGCGTTTCATTGCCAGTTATGTGAATTCATGGAGCCCTGCACTGAAGATGAGTTTTTCAAACATTTACGCAGCCATTTAAAACTTAAACAAAGAGTTGTATGTCCATATGAAGGCTGCAATTTTCAGAGCAGTGTATATGCAACATTTAATGCACATAAAAGTAGAGTACACAGTGGGAGTGCTACATCACAGTTTAAAACTGGAATAATGTCAAACATTGAAGGTCCAGATCAGCTGACTGAAGTGGAGGAAGAAATCCCTTTATAGGATGACATTGAGGGTGAGTTTGAGTCTGTAGATGACATACAGGACTTGGAAATCCAGCTGGAACATAACCTGGCTGCACTTTTTTTGAAAATGCAAGCAATCCTGCACATAACTGAAAGTGCTGCACAAGAAGTAATTCAGCAGATCAACCAGATTCATTTACTTTCACAGCCATTACTACAAAGTGCAGTCCAGAGGATTATCAGTCAACACATGGTGATGTGGATAATTCCATAGTGAGGGAAATTTTAAGTGTAGTTTCACAAAGTAATGTCCTGCTGAAGTACACCAATACAGGTGGATCCCTATCAACAGATGCCAGGAGAGCATCTTATATACTGCAAGAATTTCCAGTTGTAATGCCAGTTGAGTTTCTTCTTGACAGAGATCGTCAGTCTGTTGTACATGTCCCCATACTGAAAATGCTACAGGCTTTGTTAAGCAATAAGGATATTTTGGACAAGGTGCTGTGTGGAGAGATGAATTCATCAGAAGGATACCACTCATTTAGAGATGGCTCTCATTTCAAAGAAAATGTTCTTTTGAATGTGGAAGAATTTAGGATTGCTCTTGGGCTATATATAGATGATTTTGAAGTGGCCAATCCACTGGGAACTTCCAAGAAAAAACACAAACTGTGTGCCGTATATTGGGTACTTGCTAATCTTGACTCCAAATATCGATGAGCTCTTCACTCCATTCAACTAGCACTTTTGTGTAAGGTCAACACTGTGCCAGAACATGGCTATGCAGAGGTTCTTCGTCCTCTCATTCAGGATCTTGCAACTCTTGAGGAACATGGTGTTTATATAGAACAACTAGCCAAAAGTGTCAGAGGCACTGTGTTGTATGTAGCAGCGGACAACTTAGGGGCTCAGTCTTTGGCAGGATTTCAGGAGAGTTTTGCAGCAGATAGCTTTTGTCGGTTTTGTCTGTGTAAGCGAGATGACATACAGGTTAAGGAGGTCCGATCAGGGCAACACCAGCCAAGGACAAGAGAGAACCATGATACACATGTGCAAGAGGTTATACGTGACCCTACTACGGCCAGACATCATGGTGTTAAAAGGGGGTGTCCATTGACCGAAAAAACTTGACACACTTCCATGTGGTGGATGGTTTCCCACCTGACATTCTGCATGATTTTTTGGAGGGTATAATACCAGCAGAACTGTCACTATGTCTTAAGGATTTGATTACCAAGAAGTATACATTTTCTGATAAAGCTGACCAACCACAGATCATTCCAAAGACCTTCATCTCAAAGGGAACTACTGGGGGAAATGGCCATGAAAATTGGTCTCTCCTGAGGCTGCTTCCATTGATGATAGGCCATGATATCCCCAAGGGGGACCAAGCATGGGAGATACTGATGCTTCTTAAAGATATCCTGGAGTTGGTAATGTCATCACACTTTACAGACGAGTTAATCCACTTCCTGGATTGCAAAATCTCAGAACACAGAGAGTTGCTGCAGGAAACCTTTCCGAACTACAAACTTCGTCCAAAACATCATTTCATTGAACACTACCCTCAAATGATAAAAATCTCTGGCCCACTAGTAGATGTGTGGACGATGCGTTTTGAGATGAAGCACAAATTTTTTAAAAAAGTTGTGCATGACACTTGCAATTTCAAGAATGTGGCACATATCTTGGCTGTAAGACACCAGAAGATGATGGCCTTTCATTTAGACTCCTCAACATTCTTCAAGCCTCCTTTGGAAATTGATAAAGTGAGGTCAGTTTTGGTCGCATCTTTCCCTGAAAATGTTCAGTTTGCTTCATCAGCGAAATGCCAAACAAAGTACAGTACTGGTTGCATCTTCTGCTTGTGTTCATGGTGTTAAATACAGCAAAGATATGATCATTTCAGTTGGCAGTTGCTCAGGTCTCCCAGAGTTCAGGAAAATAACACACATTGTTGTCATCAACACAGAAATCCTGTTTGTCTGCAGGCTTTTGACCGCGTGGTACGTTGAACATTTACGTGCTTATGAGTTGTGCCTCAGTGGGGCAGGGTCTCTCACTGTCACCCAGTTGTCTGAGCTGAATGACGTTTTCCCCTTATCCTCCTACCGAGTGAAAGACAATGTATATGTGACACTTAAGCGTTACATATTATGCTGAATGACAGTATGTGGACTATGCACTAAAGTTATATTCACTTTTTCTAGGACCATGGAAAGCTACAAACTGAGAGTCATCATAATGGAACAGGACATACAGAAAGTGTCACTAGATGGAAAACCAGAAATGGTTGAAGAGCTGAAGACCAAAATCAAGGAAAAATGCAAGCTGCAGTATGACTTCAGTGTTATGTATGAAGATCCTGACTTCGATAATGCCCTCTGCAACCTCAGTGACATAGGAGACTTGCCAACTACAAGAGCGACTGTGAAGGTCATTCTGCTGCTGGTGACAGCCGCCACCGCCAGCACATCTGATACCTCCTGTGCCTCTGATGATACAGAGATTCTGTCCACACACAGCTCGTCTTCATCAATGAGACAAGAGCCATGGCCAGAGTTTTTTGACATTCCAAATTTCTCAGTTGATGTGGAATTTAGACTGAGACAGGCTAATCTTGCATACATGCGAGACAAAACACACTGGAATGTACCAAAAGACATCAAGCATGGTATTCTGGAAAAACTTGCTGAAACAATTTACAAATTTGATACCTACCCAACTGTTGAGCGGCTCCAATCTGTGGCACTTGCACTCATCAGCAAACATCCCTGCTTGAGGGAACCAGGTTCACCAGATGGGTGTTCTGGCTGGAAGTATAGCTTGAAATACAAAATGGGGAACTATCGTGGTAAACTGAAAAGAGCAGGGTGTATAGAGGTTGCGATAAATGCTGGGAAAGGAGGTAGACCGCAAATGGCTTCAAAAGGCCTCAAAAGACTAAAAAGGTATGAGGTCAATTACTTACCGGACATTCCTGAGGGGCAGAGTGAAGATAGCCTGGAGGCTGCGAGAAAACTCCTGGTTGAAGAAATGAAAAAAAGGAACCCCAGTGGAACTGTCATTGCATCAAAGATGGACCAGACCTTCCCAATGCGGAGAAGGGAGATTGTGGAGGCCGGACCGCCAGTGAAAACCTTGAAGGAGCGGTGGCCAGCTCTTTTTACGGGGAGACAAGTAAGTACTGAAATAATAAAAATAAAAAATAATAATAAAATTAAATAGTTTTTCTTTTTGAGCCTTTCTTTGCAGTACTCCACCCCCTCTATTCTGTCATTCTGCCTGGTGACTAAATACTAAATGGTAGTGTTGTCACGATACCAAAATCTTTGTTTCGGTACCCATACCAATATGAATTTCGATACTTTTCAATACTTTTCGGTATTTTTCCTAAGGAAAAGTCCTTTTGTCTACAAACTGTTAGAACAATAAATAGTAGGGGTTAGGGCTGTCAAAATTGCTCAAAAATGACGTTCAAATATTCCTTCTAAAAATAACTCATAGCTTCAAACCATTCGATTATGCATTATGTTCACAAGAGAGCAAACTAATACAAGGAAACATATTTGTATATGTATTAATACAAGGAAACATAACTACTTGTAGATATGTTTATTTCAACATTAACGTCTTTGAAAACATTTACATACCTACACATTAAAACACATAAAACAATTATCTATAACATTACGTTATAAACGACCGCGGACCTCTCGCTCGCCCTCCGTCAGGCCATACCGCCCGTGGAAGCGCTGCGAACAGCCTCGAAGTGCTGAGAAGCAAAGCCGGTTTCCTTTCGGCGCCCATGTTAACCGATTGTGTCATCCACACTGGCTGCGCTGCGCCTCGCAGCTCTGTGGCCAGCTCGATCGTTTCAGCGTCTGGCCCAGGCCAACGCCCACTCGCAAAGAGGACAGCTGCGGTGGTGTTTTTTTTTTTTTT